CCATCTTCCTTCTGAGGAGTGGCTGGTGGGTTTGAACCGCCAGCCTTCTGATTAGTAGTCAAGTGCCTTAGGCACTACGCTACCAGAACTCCCTCCATAGTGATAGTGCCTTGGAAACCCAAGGAGGGGTCGCTATGAGTCTGATCCAATTTGAGGGCAGTAGGTTTGGTTTTTGGTTTGAACTTCAGATAGGAGTCACTAGGTGGAGCCAATGATTAAGCAAGCACTCAGCTACAAATCAAAGGACTGGCAGTTACAATTCACCCAGAAGCACCTCAGAAGAAAGGCCTGGAGATCCTCTTCCCAAAGGTCACACCAATGAAAATCCTATGGAACACAATTCTGCTCAGAAACATATGGGGTTGCCATCAGTCAGAATGGACTTGGCAGCAACTGGTTTGGATTTTTTGGAACTTCAGAGTCTGTTCTGGAATGACCGCTAATGTCCTTCTCTGTTTTTAGAGAGATCTGACAGTGAATCTCAGAACAGGGACACTGAGAGAGTACCGTTCTACGATGATTCACATACAAGCAAGACAGCTCCAAATCTTTCCCTTCAGGGGTGATGGAGCATGAAATCCCAGGGGAATTGGAGATACACAGTCAGCCAGATGGCTAACTGGTTCAGTAGCAAAAAGCACAGGTAATAATTGAGATCTCGTTTCTATATCATTTGCTTTTTATAGGCCTCCACACTCAAATTTAATTCAGGAAATGCAATTTGTAGTAGAAAACTCTGAGCTATTGCTGCCAGTGTGTGGATTTTGCACCATCATTCAATAGCTATGCTATTTACCTATTACTTCACTTTCGTCATCCCTTCACCCAAGTGTGAATCCATTTTTATCAAGTCACCAAGGCAGCTGGATTTTCTGCTTTTGTGGAAGTAACATCAAGGAAACTGTTCCCAGAAAGAGGTTATCATTTTCAGTTTTGCCATATGAACAGATTTAGATGGATTCACAAAATGCTGAACAATTTTAATAACATTCATCTGAATTCACTTTTCCAATTCTACCTATGAAAATATAAGCAAAATGACTTTTTTTCTTTTGTCCAGTCCTGGGTAGTTGTACAGAGAGAACAAAAGAACAAAAGTTAGAAGTGACAGTACAAGTCCTATGTTACAGTCTTGAAATTAGTTGTTTACAACTGGAATAATTTTACACATATCAGTTTTTACTCCCCCCCCACACACACACACACTAAGAGTATTAAAATATTTTATCTTGATAAATTACTATTAGGCATGACAAGTTGTGAAGACCAATGACTTAGGTGTTTTACTGCCCTTCCTCCTAAGGGCAGACTGAGTCAAACAAAAATGTGTAATTTGTAATCACTTGATAAGATTTGCAAGAATGCTTTATTGCATCTAGATTACTATTAGATGAGGAACAGGAAATAATTTTTCTTTCTTATCTGATTTTTTACTTCTTTTTTTTCACTTTTAGAAGTGTTGGTATGAGTGCTATATACTTGTCATCAAAAAGCATTTTTCAGGCTGCCAGCTGTACATATGACAGCTCTTGGACTCTCCTTGGAAAAGCTTCAGGACAAATTAGAGTTTCTAAAGTTTTAATTACTTTCAGATCAATTTCTCCCTAAAATATTCTCCATTTGATCAAATATTCGTAAAATCTGTATCAAGAAACCTGTTGCAACAAGTTTATAAACCTATAGGTTAGGACTTTTCATTAACATTCTTTCCATGCTTGGGTAACTAGCTAAAAGAACATTTTTACTAAAAATTTGATAGGAAATAACTTGATTGCACAACAACAGGGAATATTTAATGGATAATTTTGGTATAGTGTTATAGATTGAATTGTGTCCTCCAAAAGTATAAATTGTAATTCCTAGCCTCTATGCCTATGGTTATAATCCCATATGAGAATGGATTGTTTTTGTTATGTTAATGAGGCAGCATTAGTGTAGGATGTATCTTGAGGCAATCTCTTACAAAATATAAAAGAAATTGATTAAGTCACAACTGGACCAATAAGCAGCATCACGATAAATGGAGAAAAGATTGAAGTAATCCAAGATACCACATTACTTGGATCCACAATCAACACCAATGAAAACAGCAGGCATGAAGTTACACATTATATTGCACTGGGCAAATCTGCTGTAAAAGACCTCTTTAAAGTGCTGAAGAGCAAAGATGTATTTGAAGACTAAGGTGCAACTAACCAAAGCCATGGTATTTCAATAGTCTTATATACATGTGAAAGCTGGACAAGAATAAGGAATACTAAAGAAGAGCTGATGCTTTTGGGTTGTGGTGTTGGTGAAGAACACTAAAAGTATCATGGGATGCCAAAAGAACTAACAAATCAGTCCTGGAAGAAGTGCAGCCAGAATGCTGCATGGAAGCAAGAATGGCCAGACTTCATCTCACCTACATTAGCCATGTGGTCAGAAGGTCCATTCATTCCCTGGAGAAGGACATTATGCTTGGTAAAGTGGAGGGTCAGAGTAAAACAGGAAGACACTCAACAAGATGGATTGACACCATGGTGGTAACAATAGGCTCGGGTATAGTAAGAATTGTGAGGATGGCACATGACAAGACAGTGTTTGTTTCATTCTGTTGCATGCTGTCAGTTGGAGCCAACTCAATGGCACCTAACAACAACAAGGAAATGGGAGAAGATAAATACCAAGCCTCATAGAGATCTCCAAGGAACAAGGAAACAGAAGCTGAAGAGATAGGGAATGACCTTACCCCAGAGCTGAGAGAGAGAGAGAGAGAGAGAGAGAGAGAGAGCTTTCACCTATACCCAGCACCCTGAATTCAGACTTGTAGCCTCCTAAACTGTGAGACGATAAATTTTCATTTGTTAAATCCACCCATTTGTGTTATTTTCATTATAGCAGCTCTAGATAAGTAAGTCATATAGGCATTGAAATAATATAATAATAAAGACTATATAAAAAACAAATGCACTGGCGTTGAGTTGGATCTGACTTATAGCAACCCCTTTTTGGGTTTCCTAGGCAGTATCACTACGGAAGTAGATTGCCCAACCTTCCTTCCGAGGAGGAGTGGCTGGTGGGTTTGAACCGCCAGCCTTCTGGTTAGCAGTCAAACGCTTTAGGTACTGTGCCACCAGAGCTAAAGTGGTTATTATAATTACAAGTACAAAGGCAGTAAATGAAATTGTATGTATGGTAAAATTTTAACTTTATAAAAATTGCACGTGCAATAAAATAAAGCATGGATAGAAATTTTAAAAATTATACTAGTTATTCCATTATGATTCTATCAGAACTAAATTACCATATGCTAATCTTCAACTCTCTGTAATAAAACTATATTGTTTTTACAACAAAAAAAGTCTACCTTGTTAATAGGCTTACCAATTGAACACATACTATTTCAATCCATGCCATATATACTACACCACACAACACCACACCA